CGCGAAACCACCGAGAGAGCGTCGTCGTCGTCGTCGTCGTCATGTCGCGACAGAGATCCAGAAGAGTCGAACTACCTCCCGCTCAAGAGGTACGCCAAATCTGCGATCCATCGATTTTCCTTCTTCGTTTTTGCAGATTCTTTTAAACGTAACCATTTTTTTTTCCATAATGAATTAACTGTATTTATTATTTTCGCCTCCATGGTTTTCTCGTTTTCCGTAACGTAAGCCCTTGCATTGGCTGAAAATTAATGTTTGGATTCCATTCGATTTGTATTTATTGCTGAGGTTTTTGCTTTTGCTTTCTGAGGTGTGAGGATTTTATTTCAGAATATGCAAAGTTACATTTTATATTATATTATGAGCTCTTAGTAGAGGTGCATCTGCTTCATTATACTCTTCCTCAAATCGCGTTTGTTGTGTTGGCAAGTGCAGAATATTGAAAAATTGGAGAAGGTTGTAAGCGAGGAAAATTATTATGGAGCTCAGCAAATGTACAAATCCATTAGTGCCAGGTTCATACAGTTTCTTGCTTTACTTATTCTTAGAATATGTACACTGTCTGTGATAGTTCTTCATTGTGAAATGCTGTTTTAAGTAGCAAAAGATTAATTTTCGCGTAGCTATTTTCTTTCGTCTGTAAGTGCATGCTTTATGAAAATGGATCATATAGTAAAGGTTACGAACTAGGGATAGCAGATTAGTGAAATAGCGAGGCATGATTCATCATTTGTGGCTCCTGAGAAGAATAATTTAGCATTGATGTGACAGGATTTAGTGTATGAATAGAGATACTTCCAGTGAATAGCGAGGCATAGTTACTCTAATTCAGTGTTGCCTTTGGTATTTTTGGTGAATACTGAGTTTGTCTGTATTTAATGTTTTAGGAGTAAAGAAGGCAAAGTTATTTGCCAGTATATCATATATGTTGTTATTTGGTGCCTATTGTTGGAGGAATTTTCGAGAATATTTTTTTTTGCTCCCCCATTAGTATTATCACTCATGTTATAACATCTTTAAATAAATTCTCTACAGGGTTTTGGTAATTGACTATTTTAGGGGAAGGGAGAGGGTGAGGTAATTGTTAAATATTTTATTGTAGTTTTTGCATTTTTTTGGTTTCTTTTATGATATATCTTACCTCTGTTCTTGAAGTTGGACATCTCTTTTTCTGCTTCTCCATTCAAATTAATTTATCTGTAAATTGTATTTTCCTGTTATCATTCTTAAATAGATCTGTGCTTGTTAAATTAAAGTTCTATGAACCACAGAATTTTTTTTTGGTCAAGCTTCATTATATACTCATAAGATGAAATGTAGACTTTAATGTAGCATACACACTTTACTGCAGATATGTATCTGCTCAGAGGTACTCTGAAGCATTAGATATCCTACATTCAGGAGCATGCATTCAGTTGTCTCATGGACAGGTTATACATTTTCTATTTCAATGTCTTTAAAATATACTTTTGCCATCTTTATGATCTTTATTCTGGCATGAGTAATTAATAGATTGTTCATTGTTGCCATGCTACTAGCAACCTTTTATTTTTTTTGGGGGGCTTCAGTGAGCATAAAAAATTTATTAAAGCATGACTGGAAGATTTGAAACCCTTTCAACACTTCTATATAAATTTAAATTACTTTTAAAGTATATTTCTGGTTATAATACACGCACGCACGGTTTAAATATACAGTACTGTTGACAAACAGCAAAGTTTAACACTTATTTTTTCTTTATCTAAGGTTACCTGTGGAGCAGAGCTAGCTTTATTGTTTGTGGAGACATTAGGGAAAGGGAAAATTCCTTATGATGATGAAGTTCTTGGTGCGTTTTTATCCCATCTTTTGCACTTTTATCTTTATCGGCAGTTTTCTCATGCACATGTTTATTTGTAATGTATTGTAAATTTTTCTTAGTTCTTACTTAATTGCATGGGAATTTAATTTGGTAATTATCATGCACTTGCATAAATATTCTTTCTTACTTGGATTATATAGTATTTAACCATGAAGCAGTTGTTCTTGTTGCTAACTAATATATTTATTTGGTAGATCGTCTCTACAAGATTTACAAAACATTTCCTCGGGTTACATTGCCACAAAACTTGTGGGATGTTGATGACATGCAGCAGCTTTCTGAAAACATTGGAAGTGCAAAGACACGTGTTGAAGGCTGCACCTCATTCTTAAAAGCTGCTATCAAGTAAGAATTAACCAAATTAAAAATACTTTAGATTATATTTTACACGTATCAATTCAGAGTTCAGTCACAAATGGGTACTAATGCATTTAATGTTGCTTTGGCTACAAAATCTCTAAAATTATCTTTATTAGTATTTATAATTTATTATTCAGCATTTGTTTTGCTATAATCAAGCATATAAAATTTTATATTTAGTATTTATTCTTTGTAAATTTTGTGAGGTAACTCTTATTAAAGAAAAAAAATGATAGAATCTTGCCTTAGGTTGTGTAGGAAATCAGATTGAGGGTAGTCTAATCACAACAAGCAGGAGGAGACTGGGAAAAACTATAGACAAAACCATTAAGAAAGATTAGAGTTCAATGATTAGCCTATAACGTGATATATGGTAAAACATTGGTGTTGCTTAATTAGCCTACTCCGTGTAATGGGAAAAGCTTGTTTTTATGTCTTATTTGTGATTACAAACATGAATAAGTATCGATGGTAGTTTAGCAGAAATCTGGTGTTTATACTGATGACTTGCCATTTCTTTCTTTACACTCCAATGATGTTGATTTTCTGGTTTTGGTTCTTAGTTTGAGAGCAAAATTGATGCATAACAATAATGGTTTTTATTGTATTTCATAAGCATATTATCTTTTTGTTTAATCTGTAGGAAGCTACGTCCTAATGGTGTTGATTGACCTGTATAGCCAACTCCTATCGGATAAGTTTAGGTTGTTATTTGGCTATTAGCAGAGATATAGCTAGATTGTTTAATTGGGCGGGCCAATCAGAAAGAGCATCATTGAAGAAGTGGTTCTATTAATAAGTGTCTTGTTATGAGTAACCTATATAGACACTAATTAAAAAACACATTTAATACACTATTAAATACGTGTTTGGTACACAACAAAAAAGTAAGCATTTTGTGATATATTTCAAGTTCTTATTTTAAAAAACTCTCAAAAGTTGCTAAAAAAACAGTGTGATATTGTTTTTATATATTTTTTAGTTTCCTTAACAAGTGTCTTTACAATACTAGATAGCATGTACTAATTGAAATATATAAAGTAATTACAATACTAGGTAGAATAAAGTAATAATTTGTGAAAATATATAAAGTGAGTGGTGTGCTTTTTTGCTTTTCCTTTTTGTATTTGTTCTTCATAACACGAATTATACTTGATTAAACAATAAACAAGACTTGTAATTCTAACTCCTAAACATATTCCTTTTTGAATTTTGTGGAACTTCTGCATTGCATGCTATTCATATAAATATATATCAGTGTGCTTTTTTAGATTATAATCATTTGAAGGCAAGCCTTGGTGCAACAGTAAGGTTGTTGCCTTGTGACTTGGAGATCATAAGTTCAAATCCTGAAAATAGTCTCTCCACTTGTGGGGCATATATCTACCCACCCTAGACCCCACTTGGTAGGAGCCTCATGCACTAGGTCGCTCTTTATTTAGATTATGATAATATGTTCCTTTGAATTATATTTCTAACTTTGCTGCTATATTCAGGTGGTCTGCCGAAAATGGAGCAAGTAGTAATGGATCTCCAGAGCTGCACATCATGCTAGCTGAATATATATTTTCTGAAAGTCCTGAGGTGGTAAGTTTCATGTGGCACATCAAGTACACTTTGTTGTTGCCCTTCTTGAGTTAATATTCTTTTCAAGCTTTATTATTATTTTTTTAAAACCAACATTTCTATGAACCTTTTCTTATCTTTGATTTTTTTGGTAGAAGGAAAACACAACAGCGTAGATATGTAAAAGGTCTTTTCTGTTTCAACATTTAGCAAATTAAAATAAACAAATATACATTGATATAGTTGGCCATATTTAGGTATTTTGGGAGCACTGTGTATGTAAGGACAACCTGGAAGCCATGGCGTGGATGTTTGGAGAGTCAAATTGGTGGTGGTTGTGGTTCTGTTTAATATTTTGAATTTGAAGGGTTTAGGGAAATTTCTGGCTGGGAACAATTAGGGTTTCAAGGGGAAGAATTTTTAATGATGTTAATCAAATACATTAGGTAGCTGTAAAAATCATAGTTTTAAAAATCGGACTAGTGATCTAAATGGTCAAGGTACTGAGTCAATGGATTAGAGGTCTAACTAATGGGTCACTAATTGAATTGCATGACCCAATCTTTTAATTTTTTTAAAATATTAATCTCATATATCTTTTATAGCTATAGATTTCAATATAATTCATATCATGCCTTAAAGTAACTCAAAAAAAGAAAATTGTTGTCAATATAATACTAATAGAACAATTAAAGTATAGACTGGTTGAACTGCATAAAGGGTCTACCAATATAATTAAACTATAGTTAAATTTAATATAATTTTATGTCGTTATATATATATATATATATATGTATATATATTATGCTTTCCAAACATCTGCATAAAAGCCTATGTGGTTCAGTGGTCAGGCAAGTTTTCATTATCCATTATGTGCATGGTTCAAGTCATGCCATTAATACTTTTATTGCATTTTATTAAAATATTGAAAAAATAAATTTAAATCGTACATGCTCTTGAGAAGCACCCAGGTCAGCGGAGTTGAGCAGTTTATACCGAGTTTGTGCCGATTTTGACCGGTTTAATGATGTCATTACCAAGTCGGTGGCATATTCGATCTGATATTCAACTCGAACTGGTAAGGTGTTTGAGTACCGGTTGAACCGGCCGGTCTAAGACGGGTTTTTAAACATTGGTTAAAATTAAAGAAAATTGGGTATGAGATGAGAAGAAGTTGCCAAGGTTATCTGGGTTCAGTATTGATTTATCTTTAAATTGTAGCTGCTGGGGTCATCTCTCTGAATTTTTTTTTTTTTTTTTTTCGAATTTCTAATTGGATTTGAAAAGATAGTGATCTATGGCTTCTAAAACAGCTATTGATAGAAAGGGTTTTGGTACTTAGATGGATATGATGAAAATTACTGGATGTCTTTTAATGGTACTTTCTCTGTGATTGTGAATGGAAAATTCAAGTCTTCAGTGGTTGATGTTTTAAGCTGATACTTTCAAGGGCTATTGGGGTATTAGAGTTGGTCTAGGGGAGGATATGTTTTCCTTTTTTTTCTTTTTCAGAGGACAGCAATTCTTCTTTTAATCCTTGAATCTATCTTGGTTTACAGGAGACTGAGGCAAACCAGACATAAAATTTAGTATACTGTTCGATAAATCAAACATGAAAAAACCTAGTATACTATTCATTGATTGTTAGTAGCAAGTCATGTCTTTGAATTGTTGTGCTCTTATGGGAATGGCTTTATGCTATGAAAAGCTTCACCCTTGCTTTCCTTTAAAACTATTATGACTTGCAGGATATGGCTAAAGTGACATTTCATTTTGTGAGAGGAAATAATCCAAAGAAGTTTGCTTCTACACTAGTGAATTTTTTGGGCAAGGTCAGCCTCCTAACTTTTTCACTTCCCAAAATTCTGTGAAGGCGTACGAAATCAAACAATTCTGATCTCACTTCTTCTGCTAAAACTTGGTTCAACATTTGTAATGATTTTATTTATGCCATGATTCTTATGTCATATTCTTTGGTGATTCTCAAACTTAAGTGGAGGAGGTAGCTGACGCATTGATTTTGTACTTTTGGCATAGTTTTGGAAAGGATCAACTGATGTTTTTCAAATATTGCAGTGTTATCCAGGTGAAGATGATTTGGCCATTGCTCGGGCAGTTTTAAGGTAATATTTTAGAATGTAATTTTAATTTTCTCTTGAGAATTGAGATTCCCACCACCCCCCCCTCCCCGGACAATATTAGCAATAATTTCTCACTGCTTAATACTCAAGATGCTTAACCATTTATACTCCGATGAAATTTAAGTTTTTTGTTTATTGCATTATAACTGTAGTGTATAGATATTCTCGGTATAAAATTTTGTTGTTTCTGAATGCATTTAATTTGGCTCAAATACCTTTTGTACCTGCAGTACGCATTAGCACTGAGTGTTCATTCATTCCACTGTCAAGATAAACACTTGCAATTCAGATCACAGAATGCAAGATTAGGAGATTGTTTCTTGTAAATGAAAACAAACTTGAAAGAAATAAGATAGTAGAATCAGTGTTAAGCTGTCCTCCCTGATTTTCTATCTCTGTGTGATAACTATGGAGAATTTTCACCTTAGTTGTCTTGTATTAATCATCATTGCTGCATGCATAATTACCCCCAAAGACCACTCTACTAATGCCCTTTTGTGGGCATCCTAGGTGACAATTGATCAGTAAAGACATGTATCCACTGTTTTCGAAGGTGTTAACATACTAGTTAAATTTAAAATCCTTTTGTTTGGTTAATGTTTTTCATTGTAATTCCATGCCTGTTTCACAAGGTTTCAAACTGAGGAATTGCTCATTTCTTGCATGATAGGTATTTATCTTCAGGTAATATGAAAGATGCAAACATTCTAATGGAAGAGATAAAGAAGCAAACTGAATCAGCTGAGGTAGTGTTTCCTCAGACAGAGTTGATGCAATTCATCAATTATCTTTTGCAGACGTAAGTTTTCGATGTTGTTCAACCACTAAATTGATCGATTTCTAATCTAAATGTGGATATAGAAAAATGTTATTTTGCATCACTTCAATTTGAAGGGGACTGGAAGCACTATATTTTGACGAATAATTTGGTTGCTTTTGAATTTCATGTAAAGCAGGGTATGAAAACTTCACTTACATAGAGTGATAGTTGTGTTGTACTTGTATGGCTATTCCTTTAAAAGCAACAAAATTAAGCACTTTATTCTGTTGTGAGGGACAAAAAAGATATGTACAAATTAGTTACCACTCAATTTAAGTGAAGTACTCGTCATAGTATATAATAGATGAAATGAAATTATATAGGAGTCATATTTAGGGAGAGTACTTGATTAATATGAAATGTTTTTAATGGGAAGAAGAGTTTCCTATCGTAAGAGCTGCAAATATTTGGAGTTCCCATTATGTTGCATACCAATGGCGTTTTTTTGTTATGCCAGGTTGGAAAGAGATGCTTTGCCTCTTTTTAATATGCTGAGAGCAAATTTTAAGGCAAGTCTTGAAAGGGAACCTGCGTTCAATGAGGTCAGCTAACACCATAACAAATCCTATGCTCTATTCCCCTCTCTGTTGTTGGTAGATAGCAATTATTAAATGAATCCACAAAGATGTGCCTTATCCGTATTGTTCTGTGAAACTTCTGTTTTTCTCTTTGCATGAAACTAAAAATTGATGTAAAAATGTGATTCAGATGCTAGATGATATTGCGGAGAAGTTCTATGGAGTACAGCGTAGGAACCCCATGGGGATGTTTGGAGATATATTCAAGGTGACTACCGATACGTTTCTGTAGTTAAATATGAACCACATACTTTTGAATTTTGCATATAAAATCTCATAATGAATTAAGTTCTAAGCTAATTTCTTATGCAGATGATGGGAGGTGTGTAATTACAATCAGTATGGAGACATTACCAAATAGAGCAGCAATTTCTACAGAACTTTCAAATAATTATAATATTTATCTTTTTGGTTAATGGTAGAGCGAGTTCACCTCATTGAACAAAATCTGTGTTATCTCGTGATTCACTGATTTGTAAATGCTAATTTAACAATTTTGCTTAGTACCCATTTCGATTTTTTTTAATGTAAAAATCACTTGTATTATATTTTTCTTTTCCTGGCAAAATCGAGGTTGAAATAACTTCGTAAATAACCAAAAAATTTCTTCCCCTCACCAAGCATTGTGCCAAACTTTACACAAATTAGATAAAGCTCGCAACTGCGCTGTGAATTTTCCACTTTTTTAATATGGAAACATATCTCACATCAGGAAGTGAAACTCCCTACCATAAAAATTTTGCTGGTAAGCACCTCTTCCAATTATCGTGCAGTAAATGTCATAAATGAAAGTGTTTTAATACGCCATCAAATCATTAAACTATAACCTATGTACACTTTGGGTTACGTGTACAGCCAATTTTTTAAACCAATTTTTTTCTTCTCCTAAATAATTTGTTTTTGTCAAACATATAATTTTAATTAATTTATTTTTTTCTCACCAAATATTAGTTAAAGTGTTTCAAACTGTTTTGTAAAAATTAAAATAATAGTGAGCCAGATACAATAAAGTTATGTTTGCTGAAGAAAGAGATTTTATGAATTTTCTATTTAACCTACTTCTCATAAAACCACTTAGATTTATAATGAAATTTATGAATGCAAATATAATCTTTCGAAAACATTGATAACTTAATTATATACAAGTGTGAAAAAATTTAATTCATTATAATTTATAAGATCATAATAATAAAAAATCCTTAGCCAAAGTTATCACGTATATATTAAGAATTTTAAAAAATATGTATTGAATTGGAAAAGACTATCCTTTTGAAAATCAAACATCGTTGTATTATATATATAAAATCCAACTGTTCCTAAAGTCTTTGAATTTATAAGGATACGGTATAAGTGTTCAAGAATTAATGCCGTCAGTATTAATTAGAGAAAAAAAGAGAGACTATATTGCATCATTTAAAAAATAAATAAATAAGGGTCCTAATTAAACTTTTTAAAATAGAAAAATCAAATTGAACCAAGTAGATAAAATGAAAGACACAAGTGTACTTTAACTTAATTTTAAACATAAGACTTGATTAACTTGAAGAAGAAAAAAAATCATAATCTAAAATTACACACAATCTAAACTAAAACTACATTTAAATTCAAATCTTTCATTAGTACCCATAGATTATAATGCTCTCAGCCACACAGCTCTTCGCGTTCCTCTTTTACTCTACTGATAAGCCATTTGAAGTTTTGTTTTGGGCACGAAGAAAAATGCAAATAAGAAATGCGGTATATTTCACTCTTTTTACGTGAACTGGTAACAATCATGTTGCAGAACAATAGACAGGTAAAATGGAATTTTTTACTACTAGCACCATATGAAAAGCACAACGCTGAAGTTTCCAGAAATTATTTAGTATATGACATGATATATAATATGCCCGAATCAGTTGAAATGCCGGAAACTAGATAAAGCTATGAATTTAGTCTTCAATTAAAAAGGTCACTCCATTGTCCTTCTTAAAGTTGTGCGTGGTATGATCAATCTCCTGTACAAAGAATAAGAAAGGCCATATAAGCCAGAGAAACACCTACTAAAACATATAATTTACCCCTTCTGCATGAATGACAAAACTAAAAAAATTAAACAGTTGTTATTCTTTTGGAGCCAAATTTATATCAGATTAGGATCTCCAAAAATTATTACCCAAAGTCTAGAAAATAAAGAGGAAAGCAAAAACAAAAACAAAAACAAAATATAATTCCCAGGTTCTGTAGAGTCTAGAATTGCAACTAAACTAAGCACATGTTTGGTTCTACATCCATGACCCACGTTTAAGTAAGAATTACATCAAAATTTATGCAAATGCAACTAATTGTTACTTCCACCTACTCATGTCCAACCAAAATCAATGTGAATCCAAAACGCTCTTAAGATGAATGTAACTCACCAATTGCCAAGGAAAAGGGAAAGTGGAAAACTTACATTTGTGTTGGACAGTTCCAGATTGTAAAAGTCCATTGAATCTGCCTTAAACAGAGGGCCAGCGTGCCATGTTCCCCGATTAAGCTTGAGAAATTTGGAGCCTTCAACCTTGAAAAGCAGGACATCCTGAACGTGAGGAGGCACATATGAATGACCACTACGTGACTGCACAATCTTATTGCCTGTGTTGTCCTTGATTTCATCTGAATCAACAATGGATGGCTTGGCCACTCCAAGATACCAAAGATGGCCACCAACAGAGCCGAGGCACTGAGTCACGCTTGCATGATGGGTAATGCTAGAAAACTTAAGAGGGCGGCTTTCGAGATGCATAATGTAGAACCTATCAAATACACACTAATTTCAATCTCAATTAAGGAATCTAATCATTATATGCATAAAAAAGAACAGATTTTGCACAAGTTTCCAGAATGAATTCGAAGGTGGTAGGCCTCAGAATTATGATTTATAAATGAAAAAGAGAGATGTGATGTGAACCTGGGAGTTCCTTGGGAAAGGTCGAGTTGAGCATCGTGGGGACCCAATATTTGGCCGTCCGGTGTAGCCTCGATGACCTGACCGAAGTCTTTGAAGGAGGAAGGAGTTGCTTCCACAGCTTTCAGAGTCACCACTTTCGTTCCCTCCGCCATTATCAAGATTATGCTCTCTCTCTCACACAACACAATAATAATTCGCTTTTTATTATATCTTTTTGTGTGTCAGCATTCAGCAACACGTCACATTGTTCAGATACCACATAGGACTGAATTTTTATCACCGTCGCTTCGGCTTTCCACTATTTTTTAATTCCACTCATTAAACTCATTCATGTTAAGTCGGTCGAGTTTGTGAATTTTTTTGTTCTTAAAAAACGATTCAATCTAAATTACAATTGTGTTGGTCAAGTTAGGTGTTAAACAATTAAAAAAAATATCTTAAAGAATTTAAATAAATAAAAATAAAAATAATTAATTTAAATTTTAATATATAATTTGAAATATAAATAATATTACAATAATCATAAATAAAAAAATACAAATTAATATCTTAAACAAACAAATATCATGTTATTAATGTAACAAATTTTAAATTATATGACAAGTAAAATTAAATTTTTTTTTAAATTGAATCTAAAATAAAACTTAATAAGTTAATTTAAGATATATTTTTTATTGTGTGTAATATTTTTTTCATTTAATATTTTATTATAAGTTGTGTTAATTCGAGTTTATTAAGTTTATTGATTCATTATCTATCTAATTATTTTATTATAGGTCAAATTTGTATGTGAGTCCTTATTCACTTATATCTTACATTGTATTATTTTTTTTTATCGAGATTAGTGAAATTAACTTATTTGTTTATAATTGAAATTTAAAGAAGTATTTATTAGATACACTTTTAGTTTTATATTTATTTTTTTCAATATTTTTTAGTTTTCATAATCTAAAATAAAATTTGTTAGTTCTTATATTTGGATGTATTTGTTTTCCAAATATATTATTTTATTATGGAAAATGTTATTCCTTGGAATATAACATGGCGATATTCCAAGGTATTTAAAAAAAAATTGTTTGGTTAACAGCTAAAATTGAATGGGAATCTTTTCCTGCGAATCATTAAAAAACATGTTTTTGATTCGCGTTATTTGTCATACGAGTATATATCATAATTACTGAAATGTCCTTACCATAATGTATATATATATATATATATATATTTTTTTTTTTTTTTAAAACACCTAATTTGATCTTTTATAATAATTAATAATTTTAACTTCATTCTTCTATAAATTTTTGTTTTAATTTAGTTCCCAATAATTTAAAAAATGTCAATGTGGAACTTTTCGTCCAAATTTTACAAACAGTGTCAAATGTAGATGATGTAGATGCCACGTAGATACATACGTGGCAAATTTCCATAGTCCTTCTTTAATGAACTTAGAACGGTCTATTCTGAAACCAGAACGGGCCGTTCTGATCTCACTCATTATGTGTTAATTTTGTAACTAAAACGGTCCATTCCAGATGCAAATATAACACACAACGAGTGAATCAGAACGGACCGTTCTGGTTTAAGAACGTCCCGTTCTAGATTCAGAACGGGCCGTTCTGGAACGCCAACCAGGATTAATGTTTAAATTTAAGTGTTACATTTCAACAAAATGTAGCAATGTGTTTCAAAGATTGAAAACAAAAATTCATAACATAACATAAATTCAAATATTAAAATATGCACCAGAGTTGATCTTTTCATCCTTATTTTTCATCATTGCCCATATAAATAATAAATTAATTAGGCGTAGTTTACTGTCTTAGCCGCCACGACCTAGAATAGTAGATGCAATAAACTTATGTATAATTTTAATGGTAGCATGACGAATGTAGATGAATTGCATTAACCACCCTCCCATTGTGTATGACTTGTTACAACCTCCCAAAACATGTATGAATTAAATGATCTTGGATTTTTCCCCCTTATAGTTTGAAATCCAAAGATACCATTAAATTTCTCCAAATTGAGACGATACTCTATATTAAAAAGTTTAAATAAAATCAATCCTGGTTCACAATTTGCCCTGGTTAAAATTTTAATATGGAGAGAACTAAGATATTCAAGAACAATCCTTGGATCTGGAATGACCCATTCTGAAACCAGAACGACCTGTTCCGCTTACATTCTTTGTGTGTTTTTTTTGAATCTGGAACGACCCGTTCCAGATGCAAAATTAACACACAAGGAATGCAAGCGAAATGGGTCGTTCTGGTTTTAGAACGGGCCGTTCCAGATCATTAAAGAAGGGGGAGAGGAGGCATGCCACATATGCATCTACGTGACATCCACGTCATCACATTTAACGCCGTTTGTGAAATTTGGACAGAAAGTCCCACATTGACATTTTTTAAATTATTGGAGACTAAATTGAAACAAAAAATTATTGAAGGACAAAATTGAAACTATTAATTATTATAAGGGATCAAATTAGGTGTTTTGCCTTTTTTTTCTTTGATAAACAGGAGATAATCCTAGTTGAAGACTTTGACCAGCAGTACTTGCTCCACCTTGTTCTCGGTTGAAGCCCCCAACCAAATTAGACCCAATGCTTGTTGGTTTTTATGGTAAGTGACGATCATTTAATAATGTTTTATTTAAATTAAATATGCATTTTATTAAGCAGAAGTAAAACCATAAGTAGCTATTACATAATAGTGAATAAAGGATAAAAGTTGGTGAGGGACATCCTCGACCCAATACATTTCATGATATTGTTAAGCTAATTAGCTATTGCTACCTCACTTGGTAAAAACAAATAAAAAATGTCATTTAAACTACAATCGCATCTAAATTAGGAGGAAAATATATTTTTCAATGCTATACAAGTGCACCTATTTTCATATGAAATGTTGAAGAGTCACAGTCAAACAAATCAGATTCTCCTTTTGATTGTATTGAATATTTTTATGTTAAGTAATTCAAACTATGATATAGTAATGTAGCTCCTTTTTACGTTCATACACAACATATTATACACAAGAAATTCACAACAAAATATATACACACAACATCTAACCTCATATAGTGATAATGAGCACAAGAAGTCCCCTTTCTGCAAATTGTTTAAACAAGGAATATATTAAATTAAACAACAATTAAGTATAATGGAGAAAATTCAAACATAATGTCAAAGCAAAGCAATATAACTAATAATCATATTAAACACAACTCTTAAATAAGTTTACTACGTGCATATCTAAATTCGACATTTTAAATTCTACTAAATACCATTCTCATTTAAAATAAAGTTCACAAATTCCTTTTTCCTTGTGGCAGTATGCATAGTGAAAAAATAATTGTAAAGGTTGTTATTGCTAATAATTGATATGTCAATTCTCATTATCTTTCTCCTATTCCTTCTAATATGGAGATAACTTGTTTCTTTCTTTCAACTAATTTTTTCTCAGACAAAATAAAATGTCAGTTATTAGATATTTTCAACTGTTCCCGCATGAAACTCAAATAACTTGTTTAAAGAAACTACTAAATTGTTAAAAACATCACCATTCAACTTTACCCTTCCCCCCACATTTTCCAACCATATTTGTAATAACATCACATGGTGGTTGATCAATTGGCCTTGATGCTTGAGTAGTAGTGTAATTGCATGTCTTTGATATTTGTGAGTTAAATTTATTTTTAATTTCTTCCAAATTTATTATTGTCTGACTCTCTTGTATTACTTGATAAAACTCTCTCTACTAGTACAAAATGAGTAATTTACGTCTGTTATTTTAAAGTTTTTATGTTAGAAAAGGGTTCGACGTTAATGCAAGAGATGTAAATTTACGTCGATTGTGATAAACGATGTAAATTTACGTCGGACATTCCCTAGAGCCGACGTAAAAAAAGGTTGTAAAACAAAAAAAATACTAAAATATTTACGTCAGACTATATCATGTCTGACATAAATTTATGCATTTTTTTTTTAAAAATTATTATTTTTTGATACACCTAAAACTTGCATACAAGTCCAAAATATAAAACCTAACCCAGGCAATCCAGAATACAAATTCAAATATAATTTATATTTCAAAATTGAATGACAAAAAGAAAATAATATATAAATCTTAAAAAACATAAATTAAGACAATGTAAATCCTATTATCATAAAAAAGTTATAGAACATATGTTTGTCAATGCTATCAAACTAGAAACATAATATCCAACTAATTAAACTTAGAAATCTAACTATTATATACTTTGAAGAAAAAAAGTTGCCCATTGTTCTCTTATCTTGATGATTTCATCTTCGGGCAATGGAGATGGATCTTGAAAGACCTGAAACATTAATTTAAGTGTCATTAATATACAATGTTAATTATCATAAAGGTAAATATACTTAAATAAATTTTGATATGAATTACCTGCCCCCAAGAATCAGTAATACCCGCAGAAACTATGGCTCTCATCCAATACATGATATAATAGCCACATTCAAACGAGTCTTGTTGCTTATTACACTAAAATGAAAAATAAATAACTATTATTTCCAAAGTCGATAAATTCAAATATTATTGTCTCTATTAATTAATTTGCTAACCTTAGGGTATATGAAGTGCAATGTTTTTGATCTGATTCTTCCACTTAAAATATTAGTTCCAGACACGATTCTAATTAATTGAAATAAAAACAGATGTTAGCCAATATATATAGTTATAGTTTTAAAACATAATGAAAAATTTTAGTTACCCTTGTAATTGACATTTCATTTCGTGGCTTGGTTTTCGATGTAGTGAACAAAACCACACCACGGTGTATTCCTTAGGAATGATTATCATTAACTGCCAATGGGACCTACATTGTATGACAAACAAATTAGTTATAAAATTACCATGATTAAAAAACCAATTAAAAAACTAACCCTTCAATGTATGGAGCCATGTATATATGTCTTCCTGATTCACTCATCCATGTTTGCATATATTGTTGGATTTGGACCCGAGTGTTTCTTGATTTTTGGATGGATTGAGGTTCAATAAATTCATATACTTGTGCTTGTGTTTGCTCCACACTCAATTTATCCATGTACCTAACACAATTAATTATTGTAAGTTAAATGTAATTATTGTAATTTTAGACTCATAAAAGAAAATATCACTTACATGGCCCACAACTGTATGATAGATATATTTAACATGGAATTTTTCCCAACAATCTTTAATGCGTCAGCCAGGGATATGTATAGTGGAACATTAGAGCTATCAACTCCAAAAACTCTAATGTCCCACTGCAATTGAATTGGTTTCCTCTTCAGTCGTGGTAATATGGTTAGAAGCCTAAATATGGGATCATCCTCAGCTTCTGCGATATCAGCATCATCAATAACAAGTTCTCTCATAACCTCCTTACCACGATTGATAAAATCCTAAAGAAAGAATCAAAATTAGTTAAACAATAATAGAATTATAAGAATATAAAAGAGCAATAATAAAATTACCTTTGCCAGTGATGAAAGCGGCATCACCAAACGTTTTGGCCAAGCTAAGAATGTGTCGTTTGCCTGCCCCACTAGTTGAACCTGTGTATTGGGCAAAGGCACTGGAGCAGCAACATCTTGAACTTGGTCAACCACAACCCGCGTCCAGTCTGGCTCTAAAGGGACACCATGGATTGTTGAGCCACCCAAAAATACTCGACAAATAGCCACTAACCGTGGGGGGTCATCCTCAACATATAACTCACACTGGTTTGGTACATCAGAGTGAGTCTGTTCTCCTGAGGGATCTGGAGCAGCACAACTTCCTTTACTGCTGACTCGAACACCATCATGAGCAACTACAATCTGTTGCTGAAAAACTGCAGTTTGTTGCTGAGAACGAGCCAAAAGCTCAAATTTCTGTTCAAACTCTTGTCGAATGTTCTTCAATTTCTCTTCAAACTTCATCTCTATTCTCTGCATAGCCTCCTGAGTGCAAGAGTCAAAAGTATTGCTCCTCGATGGTGGTGCACCAAAGTAATCTCGGTGACTCCAAGAACCATCAATACCACGCACACGCCCTGCATGCTCTGGCCTTCCTATGGCCGTTGTGAGTATATCATCCCGACCATGGAGAACAAATAAGCCATGGGTGGTCTGCTCAACTAAACCCTCCTACAACATATTAACAATAAGTATACCCTAAACTACACTTATGAATTGAATGAGTTGAAATTAAGAGTGTTAGTTTGTATATTTTTACTTACTATGTTATCAACAATGACCCTTGCAGACTTAGAAGTCATTTGCCTATCTGATTTTGTTCGAGCTGCTATCTTATAGCGGGGAGGTGATGCCTCTGATGCCTCTACCCTAGCCTTCATCATTTTCTTTTTTTTTAATTCATATCCCTCTCTTGACAATAGATGGGGTGCATCATTCTTGCTTTGTCGTTCTTGGGCATCTACTCTTTTGGCCTGCAATAATACAAATAAGAAAATGAGATTAAAATATACCTTAAGTATTTGTGTCAATATAAGAATTATCAATAACTAACCTGCCAAGAAGGGTCCAATCGAGTGGCACGAAATTGCATCCACTCCTTGTCAGTAATCTGGTACTTTAGACAGGGAGTCTCATTTTGTCGCTCTCCAAATACATACTCCCGTGTCAAGAAAGTCTTGAAATCTCTCCAACTGGTGGCAAGGGCAGATAACATCTTCTTCCTCATGATCTCAGTGTTGGGAATGTCAAAATTTTGCTATCAAAATAACAAAAAATAATAAATAACGTATTTAAGTTATATAATATTGAACGGATGTGCAAGTATATACCTGAATATCTTGCCACATAATGTTTTTATCAGCCTCCTCAACATCATCCCATGATGGAATGATAATAGAAACATGACGTCGAGCTAGGACTCCCAAATAGCTCCTAAACTTTGCAGCATTTGGGCCTGACGCCTTGCTAGAACGAGGATCCACCTCAACTTGTGTCCTCTCCTTGGCAATGCGTCCGGCTGTCAACCCAGACAATCGGGTGATAGATCTACCTTCCCTCCTAAAATTTTCAGTTGTTGACACCGTTGGAATGTCTAATATTTCTCCGTGCCATGTCCATATTGTATAACTTTTCACAATACCAAATATAAATAGGTGATCACGTATTTTCCCAACTTCCTGACGTATCTGATTCAAACAACGAACACATGGACAATAATATGTCCCTTTGATGGGTTTTCCATTTTCTCTTGCAAATTGCAAGAACTCTTCAACTCCATTTCTGTACTCTTGACTAACGCGACGTGCATTCATCCAACTTCGATTCATTATCTATATATTAACATAAATTAACCATTGACTCAGTTATTCATAATTATTCTAACCTAAACTACAATCCTAAAAAATTGATAGTAATTTTGGATAAAATCAATAAATACTTCTACTAATATGATGCTAAACTAAAGGTTAATGCCTAATTTGGTCCCTCTTAATAATTAAATTCTCCTTCTTTAATGCATCTGGAATGGCCCGTTCTGAAACCAGAACGGACCGTTCTAGATGGATAATTAACACAAACTTAATGCATCTGGAACGGCCCGTTCTAAAACCAGGGGCCGTTCCAGCTGCATTAGTTTTGTGTTAATTGTTCATCTGGAACGGCTCGTTCTGGTTTCAGAAAGGCCTGTTCCAAATGAACAATTAACAAACAATAACATCAAGTAGAACGACCCATTCTGGTTGCAGAACGGGCCCTTCCAGATGAACAATTAACACAAAAGCTAATGCAAGTCAAGATTTTTGAAACTAACCTCAAACGTGCAGGCCCAATGCAAAACTGAGGTACATAAGAGAACTAAGGTGTGCAGAAGACTCAAATTACTCTTTGTTGACAAATAAACTAAGGTGAGAAACTCATATTACTCTTTGTAAACAAATAAACTAAGGCGCGCGCGGGAAGAGAATGAAAAGGTTGGGATATAAATAATCTTTTACATTGGACCATACCTAGTCCGACGTAAAAGAGTCCACTGTTAATTATAAAAATGCCACCGCATCTTTTTTACGTCGTATTTTGATATGTCTGACATAAAAGAGATAACGTAATAGCCTTATTTTTCACTAGTGCTCATAACTGTCAAAGCAACATCAATTGGACTTTTTGCACTAGCACCAATATCTCTATCTTTCCCATATATAATATCCAATCTATCAAAGTATGGAAATGGTTTTCCATACAAGCCAAATGTTGTAGAGTAAGGCAACAAAGAAGAAAAAAAAAGTGTATAAAGTACATAATTGATGTAAAATAAAGAAGCAAAAATATGCAATGTGTTTTTTAAATGTTAAATGGTATGTCACATATTATATTGCACCATTGTTTATAAATTTTTTGCTCCACTACAAATAATCTTCCTAGTATCATCTCACCCAAAACTATTGGCATTTGGACCCAACATTCCTTTGATTGTACCATGTTGTGTCTTTAGAAGTTTCACTCTTGATTCAATGTGAGGTGTTGCTTTTAGAGTACAATTCAAAATTTTATTGCAAAGACATTTTCCAAGTTTTTAGTATAAACTAATTTAAACATGCTGACATTAGCTTTCCAACCATCATCCACCAATTGCAATAAACCTTCAACTAATAATCCATCTTCTTCTATGATCCATTGTCACTTTGTATTTTTAACTAATTGAGTTTTTGAGGGATCGCGCATCTATCCAACAACTCAATAAGTATGCAAAAAAAAAAAAAATTTTAAATACAACATATAACAAAATCACCATATAACAAATTCATTATATCATACATATAAAATTATAAGCACTAATAAAATACACTAGATGATACCTTTAATTCATAATAAGTGAATTACATAAATAGTAGTACCTTACCATAAATAAAATTAATGTTATTATTGTATAACGCATGAATGACATGAACTATTTTTATAAAAATTAATATCATTATGCCTTGAGAAACTTTTAATCCATTTGGTAAAAAAATAACATCTTTGAGGACCCTAGAGTCAGCGGCTGAACCCTCCCACCTAGCCAAAACATATATAAATTGCAAATCTAGAGAACATACACCTATCACATTGGTTGCTGTCTCACCCTTCCTTATCTTGTATTTGCTTTTTTCATCTTCAAGCACATTGACCTAGATGTATTTGCCATCTAGAGCTCCTAAACAATTCTATATATTCATAACTATATTTGTTACTATATTAAATTTAAAGTTGAAGTCACATTAATTATAAAAAAAAACACTAAAGATTACTATTTTACTATACCTTGAAGTATTTCCATCTCTCATCATTGATGTCCTCCAAAAATAGGCATATGCTGTATTAACAACTCATTATGACACCTTAAAATTGTCCATAACACATTTAAAAAGTGTTTGCTAATTGTTTCACCAGACTTAACAAATTGTCTTCTTATTACTCTATTCTTAGCATGATGTGTTATAATTTGTAAAAATGTGGTCACTAATTCCTCAACACACATATGTCTAGTAGCTATGAACTAAACCACCTAAACTTCTCAACATTTCACACAACTTATGAAAAACAGCTTTATCCATTCTTGTATTCTAAATACATGCCATGTCACTTGCGAAAATAGTCCTATGAAAATACACTTCTTTAATTAAGCTTCTTTTATAACAACTCCATCACCTCTTTTTGCTTTTTCAAGGGCTTACTTAGTACAAGATAACATATAATTATTGTCGTCAAAGTAAAACAGTTCAACATCTTCAAATTTATGATCAACATAGCTAAGATTCTCTTCTTCCTTTCAACCGGTTTCATGTATTCTATAATGACCAAAATTTAGATAGTTCACACTTAAATAGTATAAATAAGAATAAGTATTCATAAGTTATATTGGACTTTGTTATAACTAAGAAGCCACATTCATTGTACTAAAAGAATAGATGAAAACAATACTTATTTTAGATTTTCAACAATTGTTCCCATAATAATTATATTTGTCAACAACGAACCTATCAAACTAATGTGAGTTATCTTACAAAACTAGCAAATAAAAACTACCTTATTTCTTTCGCATCTAAAGCTTGAGAAATTAGTGATTAGTTATGCAGACCCACATTGTACCATAAACAGATATGTAGATAAATCAAAAACAAGTATGTGCTCTTACTGAAACATTTTATCAAACACCTAGTAGATATGGATAACACATTCAATAACTCAACACAAGCATCCATTAATATTTGAGATAAACAAACTCAATGTGCATACATTCTTCAAAATGAAAAATAAATTAGAGAAAGCTAACCTTTTCTAATAAACTGAGGAAGACTATCTAGCCAAATAAGATGTGTGCTGAGATGAAATAATAAGAGCACAAGTGAAAAAGCAAAATGTAGTAGTTGGATGCAATACGCATGAAAAAATAACGCTGCAATTGGATTTATAAGTTACATGAGTATTGCAAACACAAAAAGTGGACTTATTTTATAAATATAAATAAAGATTAAAAAAAACATTTTAAACCGTAAAAACTAATAAGTATTGGTAAAATAAATGAAATCATTAGACTTGAAAAACAATATTTTATTTTTTAAAAGGATATTTCTCTGGTGATGACCTTATATTTCATACTGGTAAGATAGTTAAAAAAAATGAAATGTGAATTTCCAGTGAATTTGAATTTCCTCCAATCCCCATGTGGCCATGTCCATCAGAAGAATGAAAATTGCGAAGAGAAGGAGTAGTGTTCCTGTTCCATGAGAGAGAGAAGCGCTTCTGAGTTCTGAAGTCATGGAATTTGAATTAAATTAAAGGAGATATTGAGTTGCAGTGCAAAACCCTAAAGCAGTGGAGTGAGTAGTGAGGAAAAAATGAGGGAAGAAGAAGTGGTGGAAAGCGTAACGTCAATTCTGGAGAAAGGAGGAGTTGAATCAGAGAAGCTGGAAGCGTTGATCCCACACCTCACACTCCCTCTCACCCTCTCCATCCTCTCCCGGAACCCCCTCCGCTCCCACCCCGCCGCCCTCCTCTCCTTCCTCCGCCGCCTCCCC